CCTCCTCGTCTTGAGGGCCTTAGGGGTAGGGCAAACACCATCAAAATTAATGCAACATTCAAAAATTTTCTTTACTTCTGGACATCAAGCAGTCAAGCTGGCATTATTATAATAAGCCAAATTGTGAAGGGTCCGGGGGTTTTGGTGTTAGAGCGGGGCTGTATAAGTCATATGGTGAAAATACATTAATTCTTTGAAGATTTTCCGTGCTCCTAGGTATTTAGCAGACAAGCTGATGCCATGTTTTTATGAGGAAAGGTGCTTCTTCCAAAATTGTAAAAATTATGGCCCGTGGGTCAAGGGTTCTGGTGTTAGGGCGGGGCTCTATTGATCATATACTGAAATGCATTCTTTGAAAAATTAATCTTCTTTTGTGTTCTTAATGTTTAGCAGACAAACGAAGTGCATGACTATGATTAGCAAAGATTCCTCTTCGCAATAATTTAGCTATGAAGTTTTTGATTTCAGTAAGTGTAATAAAACAGTTTAGGAGGAGAATTTAAAAAAAAAGATATGGATAATCGATCAAATGTCTTCTTTAAAAGATAGTTGAAAGACCAATAACTCTTACTTACGTGGTTCTTTCGTGTGGAACACTTTCGCGGTGGATGTAGGAAACGTGTCTGGAGACAATGTGCTGTTGAATACAAAAAGAGACCAAGAAAGAAATTCAGGTGAAATATTTAGCTGACCATATGCCGAATCACGCTAATAAAACTTAAGAGGAGCTAGTCCTCATGTGTTACATTTTTGAAGATATAGTCTAATTTTGTTTTACCCAATCAAATGACGCGTTAAAACGAAAATTAAATTATATAAAAAAAAGTTCCCTACTTTGACAGACACCTCTCTTTAATTAAATAAGACATCATCATGCAATCAAGGGTGGTCATCTGTACATTTTATCTAATTTTTATCATATTTAACTACATCCAAGTGGAAATCAAGTGGAAATTAATGCAGCTTTACAACTTTGATACCATGTGGAGTGGAGACAACTTAAATTCATCGTCTTACATGTAGCTCTTAATTATTTCTAGCAGCTTTGGTAAGACTTGGTAAGACACGAAAAAGAAGACCGTGAGACTTTGTCAGAATGGATTAAGAGCATCAGATGGAAGTGGAAATCTCGCATTAAGCGATAGAGGGGCTGTATGAAAACTATTTATCCCTCTGTCCTTAATAATTCAGAAGTGAAAAGGGAGTTACATTACATAATCAGTATGTACTGGTCCCATCTGACAAAGCTGATAACAACATAGTCTTTGTTTGTAAGGCTCATTTTTTGAATTGTTTTTAGAGGAACTAGGATTTAACTCTGCAGGTGGAAATCCAACAGACACCCATAGCTCCCTTTCTAAGGAGGAAATTCTTCAAAATCATATGTCTGTTTTGGATATTTTTAATATTCCCAACAATCAAAATAAATTTAAATTACCATAACTTTACTGGATTCCTAAACTTCATAAAAATCCTTACAAACAAAGATACATATCGTTTTCTAGTAAATGTTCTTCCAAGCCTCTTCCTTTACTCCTCACTAAAATATTTACTGTAATGAAAGAGAAACTTCAGGAGTACTGTACAACAGTATATTCGAGGAGTGGTGTAAATCAGATGTGGATACTTAAAAACTCCAAGGAACTTTTAGAAAATATGAAATCACAAAATTTTACTTAAATCAAAAACATCAAAACGTACGACTTTTCAACACCTTATACAACCATTCCCAACGATAAATTGAAGTCCAGGCTTTTTGACATCATAAACAACTGCTTTGTCAATAAAAATGAACTCGTAAATATACTTACCTTGTCATTGGTCATTTGCAAAATTATTAAAAAAAACATTCTGATTGTACAAACAGGAACTCTAAAGTTGATATTAAAAAGATGCTTGAATTTCTGATTGACAATATCTCTGCATTTTTGGAGATCAGGTCTTCCAACAATCTGTTGGAATTTCCATGGGTACCAATTGCGCCTCGTTATTAGGAGACTTATTTTTGTATTCATATGAAGCAGAAATTATTAAAATAAAAACTTCTTCATGAGAAGAAGAAAACACTTGCTGTGGCCTTCAACTCGACATTTCGACATATCGATGACGTATTATCAATTAACAATAGTTACTTCCATTTATATGTGGACTCGATATATCCCAGTGAGCCTGAAATAAAGGAAACCACAGAATCTGACACATCTGTTTTATATTTAGATATTTTACTGGGAAAAGACGTTAATTGTAACTTTACAACAAAGCTTTATGATAAACGTGATGACTTCAACTTTTCAATCGTCAACCTCCCTTACTTACGTAGCAATATACCTTTTTCACCTGCATATGGGGTTTATGTCTCTCAGTTGATTCGATACGCAAGAACAAACTCTAAGTATGAACAATTTCAAAAACGAGGCAAGTTATTGAAAAACAAGATGATGAAACAATGATATCAACAGTCATGCTTGAAGTCATCATTTCGCACGTTTTATGTCGATACAATGACCTTGTCAGCACATACAACCTATCATTAAGTCAAATGTTTACGGACGTTTTTCATACTTATTGTTAGGCCATTATCTATACAATGAACTGTCTACGGATTTTTCCGGGGTTTTTTTTTCGATCATGACATCAATAAGAAAAACACGAAAAACCTCAGTAAAGCTTAAGGCCTTTCATTTTATCTTCAGAGGCTTTACAGAATAATTTTGTAAAACCTCTGAAGAGATTTTCCTGTAGCCATTTACCATCTGTGTCATGGTTTACGACTTCTGAATGTCAAATTGTACTTGTCATAATATTTTAACATTTTTTTAAAGAAGAGAACTCTAGAATGGGTCAGTTAAGTATCCTCTTGTAATTAAAAACAAGAGGCCCATGGGCCACATCGCTCACCTGAGCACATTGGCTAGGGGAAAAAAAGCAAAAATCAGTTTAGAATTGAAAAGTTAACGGGGGGGGGGGTTGAATTTTAAACTACCTGATGATGCTTTCATATCAATGTAACAAATGGCATTGCTGTTCCTGAGCAGAAGATTTTTTCCCATATATTCATTTGTAAAAATTTGATCCCCCATTGTGGCCCCACCCTACCCCCGGGGTCTCTCATTTGAACAAATTTCATTCTACACTACCCAAGGATGCCTCCATATCAATTTTACTAATCATGGCTTTTCTGTTCTTGAGAAAAAAAAATTTTCCTATATATTTCTATGTAAAACTTTGATCCCCAATTGTGGCCCCACCCTACCCCCGGGGGTCATGATTTAAACAAACTTGAATCTGCACTACCTGAGGATGCTTCCATATAATTATGACCAATCATGGCTTTTCTGTTCTTAAGAAGATTTTTTAAAATATTTTCCTATATATTTCTATGTAAAACTTTGATCCCCCATTGTGGCCCCACCCTACCCCCGGGGGTCATGATTTGAACAAACTTGAATCTGCACTACCTGAGGATGCTTCCATATAAATATGACCAATCATGGCTTTGCTGTTCTTAAGAAGAAGATTTTTTAAAATATTTTCCTATATATTTCTATGTAAAACTTTGATCCCCCATTGTGGCCCCACCCTACCCCCGGGGGTCATGATTTGAACAAATTTTAATCTGCACTACCTGAGGATGCTTCCATATAAATATGACCAATCATGGCTTTTCTGTTCGTAAGAAGAAGATTTTTAAAAATATTTTCCTATATATTTCTATGTAAAAATTTGATCCCCCATTGTGGCCCCACCCTACCCCCGGGGGGTCATGATTTGAACAAACTTGAATCTGCACTACCTGAGGATGCTGCCATATAAATATGACCAATCATGGCTTTGCTGTTCTTAAGAAGAAGATTTTTAAAGATATTTTCCTATATATTTCTATGTAAAACTTTGATCCCCCATTGTGGCCCCACCCTACCCCCGGAGGTCATGATTTGAACAAACTTGAATATACACTACCTGAGGATGCTTCCATATAATTATGACCAATCATGGCTTTGCTGTTCTTAAGAAGAAGATTTTTAAAGATATTTTCCTATATATTTCTATGTAAAACTTTGATCCCCCATTTTGGCCCTACCCTACCCCCGGGGGTCATGATTTGAACAAACTTATATTTACACTACCTGAGGATGTTTCCACATAAGTTTCATCTTTCCTGGCCCAGTGGTTCTTGAAAAGAAGATTTTTAAATGATGCCATTATTTTTTCACTAATTCCTAATTATCTCCCCTTGAAAGAGAGCGTGGCCCTTCATTTGAACAAACTTGAATCCCCTTTACCCAAGGATAATTTGTGGCAAGTTTGGTTGAATTTGGCCCAGTGGTTCTTGAGAAGAAGTCGAAAATGGGAAAAGTTTACAGACGGACAGACGGACGACGGACAAAAAGTGATCAGAAAAGCTCACTTGAGCCTTCGGCTCAGGTGAGCTAAAAACGGTGAAGATAACGAATAGTAATAAATCTCTATAAAATAGGTGAGATCGGATTCCTAGGAGTAAGCATCCTCTACTGACCGGACACACTCGCCATTAGCCTTATGTATTGATCAGGTAGAAATTACGGAATATGAATTGAAAGAAGTATTATTCGGCATTGTTTACAGATAGACAGACGGACAAACAGACAGCTAGACAGACGGACACCTCATTATCGCATAAGCTCTTCTGGTCTCTGATCAGTAGAGCTAAAAACATTTGGCTATAATCTAGACACAAAATTGAAGTAGTATTACTCTCAAAATCTATCAATTTATTTGCTATCATGTTAAAACTTCTTAATTAGTGCCCCTTCATTAATACATTAACAAAAATTTAATTAGAAAGTATACCAAATGGAAAATTTAAAATTATCACAACATTTGACATCTATTTACATGTATTCAAAATTTCATGGTTTAATGTTCTCTTCTCTTTAAAATATTAGATATACATCTATTTCGTTTAATGATCTAAAAATACATTGTTGCACTTCACAGGGTTTTTTTTCCTTCTACAATTTCTAGAACATGTTTACAACCTATAAAACAATCAACATGAACTTGAAAAGAAAACTATCAGTGAAACTTTTTTTCTTTAGAAAATAGCCAAATGACGTTCTTTGTTTTAATGCACAATAAGAGTCTCTATTTTAAGGGGAAAAAAACTACACTGCTATTTTTATGAAATAAGTTTTTACTGAAAATACTGTATGAACAGTAGATATAAGCTGTACAATGTGCATATATATGTACGTCATTTACAACATTTTGTAAAGTTGAAGATCAAAACCTTTTTATATGTGGAATTATGTGGAATTCACACTGCACTGCTACTAATACAATTAAAATATAATTTAAAAAGATCTACTAATGCAATTAAAATATCATTGAAAAAGATATACAATAATTCTTTCATGAATAATTATGTATTTTCATTAAAGTACCACTATTTATGATATCACTTGTTTAGGGACCTATCTTAAAGAACTGCAAATAAATATTTTAATATTTTGATCATTTTATTTTACGTAATTGGGAGCCATAAGGACCAGAATGCTTCATCTTTTGACTATTGCTATTGACAGAATGCTTCCTCTTTGATACATTTTGAAATGCATCAATAATCATGATGGAAAGAAGTTTAAAAATGTTCTTAAGACACTAAATTGAAATCAAAGGTAACATTTTTAAAATCAATATTAATAAACAAAGACCTGAGTCCAAATCATTTCTCATTTTATAAAAGTCGCCCTCGTAGTGCAGTGGTTAGAGCGTCTGCTCTAGAGTCGCGGAGTAAGGAGTTGATCCTTACGTTGCGGGTTCGAATCCCATTGCGGGACGTGGAGACCTTCTGATGAGACCATATAAACCGAGGTCCCGTGTCCCAGTAGGTATACTGGCACGAAAAAGATCCCTCACTGCTCAATGGCCCCGAGTGCCAAGTATGTCAAATGTCAAAATTTGTAGCCTTCCACCGGCAAGTGGTGGCGTCTCCATATGAGTGAAAAATTCTCGAGAGGGACGTTAAAAAACAAACAAACAAAAACATTTTATTTAAAAAAAAAATTGGACGAAAGACCAACTCGTTGCTCGCAATGAGATCTGATATCATTCTACATTTTTACAAACTCTTTTGCGAACGTAAAGTATGCACTTGTTCACGAATCAGTGCAGGATGTAAAGTGCATTTCTTTACCATCATTGCTACATTAGGTTCTTAAGAAGTGAAATAAATTTTCTTTCTGTTCTGGAAACCAGAAAAATCGCAAAGATTAGGAATATCGCAAACAGAAGCCCGAGTTTTTGTAAAAAGCAACGGTATCATTCGATAGTTTTTGGTGCCATTTTGCTGAAACTTTACCCTAGCAATATTATGAACATTGATGATGCCTTGCTCTCGTTCGTTTATTTTAGTCACTGTACTGCTGCACTCTCCTGCTTTTAACGCATTCCTGTAATCTGGCGAAATACAGAAGAGTATCCATTTAGCTTTTTCGTAGTTTATGTCTCTCCAACCATGAAGATTCAGTTCTCCTGTTTTTCGGAGCGCATAAAAACTATCACATTTCACAGAAAAATCAAGAGAATCCCCCAATTCCTCACACAATTTCATAATTTCACGTGTGTGTCTCTTACTTTTATCAGAAAATGTCAAATAAATAATTGGCTTTCCTGTATCTGAACAATAAAATAAAACATAATAAATAACATGAATATTGAATAAGAAGCTTGTTATACTATTTTCTGCAATTCTATAAAGAAATTTTGTGATATTTTATTGATATAAAATTTTAGAAATATGGTATTTTTAAAGTTTATTTGCTTTGCCGACAAAACATATGAAAAACCTGTAGTAACTTACTGACTGCAGTGGAACCTCTGCCGTTGCTATAGAGATTACAAAATGACGCTTTTCCGGATATACTACCCTCCTTTAAGCAGTCTTGTCTAAATGGTAGGGACTGAGGTTTTACAGCATAACTTTTATATTTGTTTCTGGTACATTCCCTTCGTTCCGATATTGGATTAAGATTGCTGCAAAATGTAGAAATTTCAGTAGAATTTGTTTGTTGGTTGATAGAAAAATCTGCTGAAGCTTCCTCTCGATCGTTTTCATCCCGAACATAAATTACAGTTTGATTCAAAAGAGTTTTATTCACTGGATGAGAGGAACGATGAATTTCAGACCCAGTACACATAGTGCTAGATTCAGGGGAATAAAATTCTCTTGTCTTGGTCCCTTGTGTTTCCGTATTTCCTTAAAAGAAAAAATTACAGTATGTTATTTTGAGAAAGATGAATCAACAATTTATTAATCTTTCAATGATATGTTTGAAAAATAAATGATTGGTAAAACCTAAAATAGAAGTTCACTATGAAAATATAACAAACATACCGAGTTTTTAAAATCCTATTAAAAAATTAAAAGGGAGAGATTTATCTACAAAACTCAAGGACTAACTATTCAAACAGCAACAACTCGCTAAAGATAGAAATGATTGTTTAAATAGTGCCAATTACTGAACATGTAACCGTAAATTTACTGCAAATATAACTCAGATTATGTAGAACCCTATCAAACAATGAGAGATGTATTCAAATACAAAGTACGTAATCAGGTATTTCATGTTTACGATAATGTGTCAGATATTATACGGGCATATAATATGTATAGCTAATCCTTGTTCTTGTTCATTTATTTCACCCATTCTCCCATTACATTCTTCTGCTTTAAACGCTTTGCTATACTCTGGCAATATATTGGAGAATACCCATTTTTCACAGATATTTTATCTCCAACTACCAGTGTTAATATTCAGTTCTTCTTTTCTGAGCGCATTTTAAAATTATCAAATTTCACAGAAAATCGAAGGAATCCTTAGTTCTTAACGCAATTTATAATTTTCATAATGTCATGCGTATGTCTCTTACTTTTATCGGAAAACGTCAAATTAATAATTGGCTCTCTTGCATCTGAAAGAATACCATAACACAAATTAAATAACATGTAAATGATACTAGACAAACTTGTAATATTATTCTCTGCAATTTCTACAATTCTGATTAAAAAGATAAATTTGTTGCAATCTTTTATCGATATGACTTAGAAGAAATATGATATTCTTCTTGGTCTTATCGGCAAGGGTTGGGATTTTGCAGCGGAACTTTTATATTTGTTTCTGGTATAACCTCCTTGTTCCATTATTTGATCAGGATTACTGGAAAAAAAAAGAATTCCTTGAGATCTTTTTGGTTGGTTTATAGACAAAACAGCTGAAGTTTCTTCAGGTTTGGCTTGATCGATATCATCCCGGACATAAATTACAGTTGCATTCAAAAGAGTTTCATCCGTTGGATGGGAAGAAGGATGAATTTCAGAGCCAGTACATATACTGCTAGGTTCAGGGGATTGGAAATATACACACTCGTCATAAAAATATTTGGTCTCTTTTGCTTCTGTATTTCCTTAAAAGAAAAAAAAAATCATCACTGTATGTTATTTTGAGAAAAATGAATCAACAATTTAACAATCTTTCAATGGTATATTTGAAAAATAAATGATTGCTAAAACCTACAATAGAAGTTCACTATGAAAATATACCGAGTTTTTAAAATCCTATAAAAAAAAAAATAAAAGGAAGATATTTATCTACCAAACTTAAAGACTAACTATTCATATAGCAACAACTCGCTAAAGATTAATAAGTTTGTTTAAACAGTACTAAATACTGAACATGTGAGAGCAAATCTACTGCAAATCTAACTCAAAATATAAAGAACACTAAAGCAGAAAAATCAAACAACGAGAGACGTAATCAAAGGCAAAATACGTAAACGGGTATTCCATATGCATGTTAAACTTTAAAGTTGAACACGATTCGTAAAAGGAATTTGTCCGCCATATTCTTTATTTTTTCATTATATCTGAAGCTCTTATATAAGCCGTTCACTCAGTCACGGTTCAATGCAATCAATTTTCACCTTTGTAGAAGGCGTATGGCATACTACATAGGTATTGTAAAACACTCGGAAGTGACAAACTAACTTTATGCTTCTTCCACGGCAGAAGAAAGTTACCAAGGAAACTTACAACACTTGCACAGGTCAGTGCAATACACAAACACAAATAGACGCAATCTTCAATAAAATGTAAACAAAGGTAATGTAAGGTATTCAGCACGAACACGAGTCATCCATTCCACGCAGGTAACCCTGACAAGAAAGCAGTCAGGTGTAACGAATGCGAAAGATATACCCCGGTGCTGATATCGGAGATAGGAAAATTAAAATGGCGTATGCCTATTTACGAGTCATGTTCAGCGTTAAGGAAGCTCTAACTGTCTGCACAGTGTTTACTTAAGAGTTCAAATTCCAGTGTTGTTTTATGCTTTAAGAGTGACCTGACCTTTCATGTAATATGAAATAAACGAAACTCTGGAACGAATGACACAATTTAAAATAGATTAAAGTATATTTAGCATCATAATAGAGCAAGATAAAGTAATTGAAAACATTATTTTCTTAGTGTAAGTAGACAACATTGGTTTCTAATCACTTAACTGTATTTAAGATTTTTCCAGAAGAACAAGATAAACTCAATATATACACCCTTTATATGCTATAATTGTCCAAAAGTGTATAGAGCTTTCTTAAAGGGTCAAGTATTATACGGGCGTATTTCAAAACTTGTGTAATCTACAATAAAAAAAATAGCAATGTTCACGATTTTAAAATTTAATTGTATATATTTACAGACATATAATTATAATTTGAACTACGTTAGAGATTTATAAATTTAAATCTCTAACTATTGCTATGCTTACCTTGTTGTTGCAAGTCCATGTTTTTCTGCTATGGCGAAACTAACATTTCTCTGAATTACAGGTAATAGTCTAAATTTAAATACACCTCATGTACCCAACTTTTCATTTCGAGTTACCGGGTGAAAAAATGTTGAGTACTGGCCAAGATTTTAATCATGCCATTTTCTTTTAATTCTCAAATACGCTTTCTGCAACAAAAAAAAAGAAATAAATCTTCAGTGAAGAACACGGGGTTTAACAAGTAATTTACTTAATCGGAGCGCCTCGACAGTTTCATTGGGAAAAAATGTAGCAAAGTATTTGAAAGCCAAAGAATTTTGCAATTCAAGGGTTGAAACAAATTATCTGTTGATCAATCTGTTACTAATTATCAAATTAGTACAAATCTTTTCTATGTATTTTTTTCCCATGGGTAACAATTGCACCTCGTTATTAGCAGACTTATTTTTATATTCACATGAAGCAGAATTTATTCAAAAACTTCATGACGACAAGGAAACACTTGCTGTGGCCGTCAACTCGACATTTCGATATATCGACGATATTATCAATTAACAATAGTTATTTCCATTCACATGTGGACTCGATATATCCCAGTGAGCCTGAAATAAAGGAAACCACAGAGTCTGACACATCTGTTCTATATTTAGATATTTTACTAGAAAAAGACGTTAATGGTAACCTAACAACAAAGCTTTATGATAAACGTAATAACTTAAACTTTTCAATCGTCAACTTCCCTTACTTATGTAGCAATATACCCTTTTCACCTGCAAAGGGGGTTTATGTCTCTCAGTTGATTCGATACTCAAAAACATGCTCTACGTATGAACAATTTCTAAAAGGTCAAGCTATTGACAAACAAATTGATGAAACAATAATATCAGCTGTCACGTTTGAAGTCATCATTTTGCAAGTTTTATGTCGATACAATGATCCTGTCCGCGCATACAACCTATCATTGAGTCAACTGCTTACTGACGTTTTTCATACTTATTTTTAAGCCATTATTTATACACTGAACTGTCTACGGATTTTTCCGGGTTTCTTTTTTCGATCATGACATGGAGCACACGGCGGGTTTGACCGGTCGGCAGGGGATGCTCACTCCTCCATGGCACCTGATCCTGCCTCTAAATATTGAGGTCCGTGTTTGCTCTTCTCCAAATTTGTATCGTTTCATTGGACTTTCGAGATTAAATACTGTTCGTTATTTTCATATTTCATTGAACCAATTGAACACCTATCTGTTGAAAGTTATTTGCATTTGGTTAAATAGCTTTTAAATGATATATGAAGATAAGTTTTTGTGCAAGTTTAAACATCTCTAGCTTTTGACAGAACACAATATAATTTGGTAAATATAAAAACAAGGATGCTTATAGACTACAAAATTTTTATCAATATCAAATGTAGGACTCCAAAGTGCGATGGGACTCCAAGGACCGATGGTCACGCCAAAGTCCGAAGGTCTGCGCCAAACATGATGGTTAGACACGCAAAAGTCCGATGGTGTGGAAAAACAATTAACATTTGTGATGTTGTAGTACTACTGCGCCAATATGCGATGCCTACCCAATGCAAGATCTTAAATGAATATAAAAAATATTATAGGCGAGGACTAACACTAATCTCTCAGATAGGCTTGACACTTACCCTAATCGGTCGAAAAGTGTGTAAGAACTATAACCTGGATATCTTAGGTGAATGCGAGACTAACCCTAATCAGTCGAATAGATAAGCAAAATCAGTAAAATTGTATGCGAGGACGAATATTGAATTGATGGCTTTTGAATGCAGGACAACGGCGTCAATGATTGACGTTGGAATATTGTGACGTCATAAATGTTGATTGTTTCTCCGCACCATCGAACTGTGGCGTATCGAACCATCGTACTTTAGCGCAGTGCATCTCATAGGAAACGAGCCATTGGACTTTGGCGTGACCAGCGGACTTTGGCGTCCGTACCGACACCAACGGGGTTTGGCGCAGACCATCGGACTTTGGAGTCTTTATCTATCTATCTATCTATCTATCTATCTATCTATCTATCTATATATATATATATATATATATATATATATATATATATATATATATATATATATATATATATATATATATATATATATATATATATATATATATATATATATATATATATCTTTTTCTTCTGGCCATTTACCATCTATATCAATGGTTTTCGACTTTTGAAATGTCAATTTGTACTCGCCATAATATTTTAAATTTATTTGAAAGAGGAGAACTCTAGAACGCGTCAGTTTAGTATCCTCTGGTAATTAAAAAACGGTGAAGATAACGAACAGTAATAAATCTCAAAATTGTTAAAACGTTTTTAATATCAACTTCATAGTACTTGTGTGTACAATCAGAATGCTTTTTAACAAAATAATTTTGCAAATGACCAATGACAAGGTAAGTATATTTACAAGTTCCATTTTTATTGAAAAAGCAACTGTCTATGATGTCAAAAAGCCTGGACTTTAATTTATCGTGGGGAATGGTTGTAGAAAGTGTTGAAAAGACGTACGTTTTGATATTATTGATTTTAGTAAAATTTTGTGATTTCATATTTTCTAAAAGTTCCTTGGAGTTTTTAAGTATCCACATCTGATTTACATCACTTCTCGAATATACTGTTGTACAGTACTCCTGAAGCTTCTCCGTACGGTAATTCAAATTCATTTTGATTGTTGTGAATAGTTAAAAATCTAACTCGAACATATGATTTTGAAAAATATTCTCCTTAGAAAGAGAGCCATTGGTGTAAGTTGGATTTCCACCCTCAGAATTAAATTCTAGTTCCTCTAAAATACAATTCAAATAATGAGCGTTACAAACAAAGACTATGGTGTTACCAGCTTTGTCAGCTGGAACCAGTACATACTGATCGTGTAATCTGTCTAATTCCTTTTCCACTTCTGAATTATTAAAGACAGAAGGATAAATAGTTTTTATACAGCCCCTCAATCGCATAATGCGAGATTTCCACATCCATCTGATGCTCTTAATCCATTCTGACAAAGTCTCACTGTCTTCTTTTTCGTGTCTTACCAAAGCTGCTAGAAATAATTAAAAGCTACATGTAAGACGATGAATTTAGTTGTCTCCACTCCACATGGTATCAAAGTAGTAAAACTGCATTAATTTCCACTTGATTTCCACTTGGATGTAGTTAAATATGATAAAAATCAGATAAAATGTACAGGTTACCACCTTTGATTGCTTTAAGATGTCTTTCTTAATTAAAGAAAGGTGTCTGTAGGGACAGATAAAATGTACAGGTTACCACCTTTGATTGCTTTAAGATGTCTTTCTTAATTAAAGAAAGGTGTCTGTAGGGAACTTTTTTTAATACAACTTAATTTTGGTTGTAACGCGTCATTTGATTGGATGAAAAAATAGACTATATCGTATAATCTGGATTGCCTACGTCACAATGACTTACGTCAAAAACGTACCAATCCGCTTGACGTTATATTTAAATATGTATAATGTACATTTTGAAGGAGAAATTGTCTTATTTTCTACACTTAATGATGGAAAATTAAATTATAAAGAATGAATTAAAAAGCTACCCCAGTTATACTGGTATTACCTGAGTTGGAACAATTTACGCTTTTTTATAAACCTCTTCGCGGTTTATAAAGCGTAAACTGAACCAACCCAGGTTATACAAGTATAACCTGGACAGCTATTAAATTCATTCCTTAAATAAATGGCATTATAACTGGTTTAATTGACATAATTTCCAGTAATTGTTACGTTAAAAATATGTGTAAATATTGTAATATTTATCAGAGAAACCAGTATACGTAGTAGATAAATACTTAAATATCGCAATTACCTCGCGGATATCTAAGTTACTGTCACTATTTTGCGTCAAAGTCGAAAAAGTTATAAATCTCGCACGATTTCCAGGCCATAACTTTTTTTACACTGGTGACAAATGATTCGAACAGTCAGTATATCGAAAGTACAATGTCTTCCTGTGGGTTGAAATCTGAATAGTAGATAGTCTAATTAGAAACGTTGAGTATATTTTCTCATTTTCCAAAAGTAACAATTATCAGAAAGAAATGGTAGAATTCAAAAGGTACCAGTACTAACCTTTATTTCATTTAGATATTTTGTTCGCGCAAGAAATAAGATTCGCAAAGCAATTATTTTTACACCAATTTTCCCCATGGGTTAAGCTATTAGCTTACTCAAGATAAGAGGCGATCGGCAGAAGTTTCCTGTCCACATGGAATGCTTACTCCTCTAGGCGCCTGATATTATCTCCGATGTATCAAAAGTTTAATGTCTTTACTCAATTCTCAGTTTATGTTAATTTGTTTCACTTTGTGGACCTTCAGCATTGCATATCACTGAAACAGAGTCAGTGTTTCACCCATTTCCATAGCATAGCAAGAAAAACAAACCGTTGGATGAGCAAACTAGCTCCATTTTCTACAGATTTTAGGCTTGACAGTTTTGTATAGACATTTTTTTTTATTAAGAAAGAACATATGGAGTATTTGCCATGTTTTTTTTTTCATTATTTAATTTGCTTTGAACTTCCTTGTAAGTGTAAGTCAAAATAAAAAGTAGTGTTGGAAATCATGATGTTCTTTTCTCTGTAATCACATCTCAATTTTATTTTTATTTATTTATTTATTTATTTTTGGTTTCCATATCCTTCGAGCAAGGTATGCAGTAAAAGCCAAAATTTCTCTAATATTTCTGTCATTTATATTAAAAATGTTTGGATGATTTGCTCTAAAAAGACATTGATGGAAAACTAGCAACAACACCTTATGATAAACGAGATCACTTCAACTTTCTATCGTCAAACTCCCCTTTTTTATGAAGAATATCTTTATCATCTGCGTATTGATTTTATGCCCCTAGTTGATTCCATACTCAAGAGCATGTTCTCGTACGAACATTATCTGAAACGAGGCAGGATAATGACAAATAAATTGATTACACAAGGACATCAATAATCTCCTTTA